CCCCTCCCCGCCCCTCACCGTCTCCTGCTGCTGTCCAGCTTCAGGTGAGCGGAAGTCAGCTGGCAATTCCTGCTGACTATCTGACTGCCTGTCCAGAGCTCCTCAGATAGCTTAGCACAGAAATGTAGCTAAGTATTTGACACTCACACACACACACACACACGCACACACCCGATGCCATAAAGATAAGTTAGAGGCCACATTATGATTCATTCTAATCGGTCCACAATGCCAATCGTCATCAGAGTTGGACGCCCAACGACATCGTTTTTACTTTTTTTATGCCAACCACAAATTAGATTTTTATTGTTAGCAGCCAGAAGGCGTGGGTGGGCAGAGGGCGGGCAGGGGGCGGGCAGGGGCGGGCTGGCAAAAACAATTTACTTCTATCTGCAAGACGATACGTCACAAGTGGCACACACATAAACATAAAAGTAGATAAAGCAGCCCGCTTTGCATACTGCCAGCGACTTTAAGGCCAACAACAACTTTTGGCTCTGACTGTGCTTTAATTGTGGACAGAAAACCTTTCTCACTCGAGCTGCTCGCAGCTCGCAGCTCGGGCGAAATCAAAGCGGCTTAGCACAAATATCTTAAATAGCAATAAATTTCGATTTTTGTACATTTTATGAATTATAAGCTTAAGAGGCAGGCACCGCCTCCCCCATCCGTCCACCGGCCTGATACCCTGCACCCCCTTGGCAAAAGGGCTGCACCTTAAGCATTCTCAGCGTTCAACGTGCCACGCGAAAAGTTTCCGCCCCCTCCGCCTCAATGTGCCACAAACTGACAGCCGCCTGGCAAAGATTTAGACAAAGACGCCAGCCATTTACTGTTATTCGCACTGATAGCAAAGTACTAGCTGCCGTGCCCCTCGCACCCCCGACCTCCGCCTGCAACCACTCTGCCATGCAAACGGGGGCACAGCGTCTTAAGCACGAGCATGCCGAGTGGCATTTTAACATTTTTAAGTCGCGACTTCCCCTTCCTCTTCCCTCTGGCCATGCCCACCTCCAACCCCCACGCTTCCCAGCTCCATTGGCGTCTTTAGCTTGCGCCGCAAGCCTTTCGCCAAGGCGCAGCGCCATAAATCAATTCGTATTAGTTTTATGAAATGTGTACCTGCGGCGTACAATGCCACACACACACTAACACACACCTGCACACACACCTACACACATCTACAACAGACAGTTACTAGGTTTATGCGTAACAATTTATGAAAAGGTTTTATTTGAAGCTGCGCCTTTAAAAAGAATATACACTATTTTCCAAATACAGTGCTAGGGGGTATTGCCCGGCTTTGTCCGTGGAACGTTTTGTGCTAACAATCTTAGATATAACATCTACCCATCACACTTGTATTTAAAAATATGTTTAAAGTGTATCGCATATAGAAGCAAGTGTTGGAATCAACGGTTTCCACCTGTGTTAGTCTTGCGTTGGGAATCTTGAACCAGAAATGAGCTTGGAATGAGTTTTTTATTATAGTCCCAGCAAGTATATAGATTTGAGTAGAGCTCAGCGGTTCCCTTCATGGACTAAGCCAATGCCATTCCATAAAGTTCGGTTCCCTAGCCTGGGTTCCTAAAACTGAGAGCTGGGCTTTCCTGACTTATTCAGTTTATTGTGAATCAATTAATCCATTCTACCGGCTAAAGACTTATGTCGGCTAGTATTCTTAATTGTAATTCAGTATCATGATTTCTAGCCCTGCATAAACCACATCCCAAATGATAATGTTGGCGGTTTAATGAGCAAATCTTTTTTGGTAGCGTCTTCGGCGGCATCAGCAAAAAAGCTTTGGTAAAGCGTTGCCAATTAAGCGACTCAAGCGAAGGACTTGGCATAATTCATGTCCTTCACTCTGTCCTCGTGGCCAACACACACACACATACGCACAGGCCTAAATACGCATGCATATTCATTGCATACCTCAAGGCTGAGTCTATTTTTCTGGCTGTTGGAATTTCTTTTCGCACTCAGTTCTTGATGTTGGCCGTGAATTTGCATAAATCTTTTTTTTTTGGCCAGAATTACAATATTTCTTGGTTATTTTAACTGGCGCCCAGTCAGATTTATACCAGCAGCCGACTTGTGAATATTTAATGGAACTTTTGAATTATCGCCTGACAATGGGATTATCATTTTTACATTGGCCGCACGGCAGGACATGGCCAGGCAAATGGACATTGGGTACATTGGCAACGATGCCGAGACGCACACCTTGAACCATTAGCTAAGCCAAAAGTCGCCCCGGCTGGGCGTGGCGCTCCCCTGGGGGTAATTCGCAGTTGCCATAATTATCATCGTAAATTATGCGTGGCAATGGAAAATGTCGGAAGAGGGGGGGAAAAGTTTTTGGATGTTATGAAAATGAATTGAGATTGAGCCAAAAATGAAATGTGAATTTACAATTGATTTAAATAGTCGCAGCAGCACCAGAAGCTGGAGCTGGCTGAGGAGGGATACTAAATCAAAGCATCTTCCAATCTATGCGCCTCCATTCCGGCTCTTCCGCCCGCTGTTGCTGCTCCTCCTTTTTTTGGGCAATAATCTGCAGCGCCGAGTGTCATAAATAATAATTAAACAACTCGCGTTGTTAAGTCTTTTTATTACGACCCAAGACAAACGACAGCTGACAGCGGGGGCAGACGTCGCAGTTGTGCGGGGCGTGTGTGCGGGATAAGATGCTGTGCGCCGCGCTGGCATGAAGGGAAGGCTTAGAGCTGGTTGCTGGTAGCATGTGCGGGCTTTCGACTTGTACTCCCCGCTTCCTAACCCCCTGCTCATAAGTAGACGCACAATTTTCCACGCAAAGACTTTTCCATGTATCGTCTGGCACATGAGCCAGACATGGAAAGCGGCGTCCAGGCCAGGTGCCCAGCGTCCCTGGGCCCCACTTCATGCTCGATGTTAAGACGTAATTAAGAAAATAAATAATAATCGCCCGATGCAGAAGATGCAGACACCAAGGGTTTGGGCATGTGTGTGAATGTGTGCGCATGTGTGTGTGTGTGTGTGTGTGTGTGTGTGTGTGTGTGTGTGTGTGTGTGTGTGTGTGTGTGTGTCAGCTGGCGCCTTTGACTTAAGCCCACGTTGTCATACACTTATAAAATATCTTAACTAGAACAGCAAAAGGATCTCTCCACCTCCTGCTCACAGTGGACGGTGCGTAAATCTAGCCCGGGTTGAGACCACCTACAACAAGAATTATTATCATTTGATGGCACAGCCAGCTAGTTCCGGCCAAGGTTTAATAAGCTCACGCCTTTTTGCTGCTGCTGCTGCTGCTGTGAACCTTTTCTCTTGGGGGTTGGAGCAGCAGCTGACCCAACTGTGCCGCAGAGATATGCCATGAGAAGGACTACAGAGCAGCAGGAATTTACCAGAGCCAAGGAATTCAAATAATCTAAAAACAATTGAAAATACGCCTTGCTCTCAGCTTGAAAGAAATTTAGATAACAAATGGGACTTGAGGAAAAAACTGGAACTCACGGAGGTTCCTTTAAGATATCGCGACGAAATCTTTTACAAACCGAGAATGGACAACCTATTAAATTTAAACTGTTCTAAATGTAAGATAAGGACTTTCGATAGAGGCCCTCCCAAATTGGTTTCTTTATACCTTGATAACTTAGATAGGTTTAGGTGCCATTCTTGATCACAAACTAAATGTCGACTCTCATGTTACGAACGTGGTCAGAATTGTCTTGGATTTCAGCAAGCGATCCGTGCATGATCCTATACTAGAGTATGTCTCATGTATCTATCTATTCATCAAGACAGCATTGAATCTGTGTAGAAACAATTCCTGCTCGTGGTTCAAATTGGGATCATCTTCATATGCAGTTACCGCCAGTAATCTTCTGATGATTTATCTGTCTTTCTAAATGAAAACTTTTGATCTTTGACCATGTGGAATTAAACAAGTATTTTCGTAAGTTAAGTTAAATGCAGAGTTCAAATATGTCATGTAAGTCAGCAGCTAATTGAAGTAATATGTCTTATGCCTAACTATACTATACCCGGTCTGTTTGTTCTCTTCATGCAACACACTTTTGGCAATGTACTCATTAACTAATTTGGCCAACGAATGGGGGGTGGATTTTATGGTGGGTTGGTTGACATTTGAACACAACGCTGCAAACGGAGCCATAGAAAATCGCCGTGAATAGCGCAAGTCACAAATCAAAGCGGAATTATTATTACTTATGACCATTTAATTGGACTTGCGTATATTCATTTGAGTTGCGCTCGGAGATGCTGGTTTTTGTTTTAGTTGTTGTTTCTTGTTTTGTGTGTGTTTGTTTGCGCAGTCAATTTGCCAAATGGTTGTGCCACAGACATCGGCAAAGAAGCCACCACAAATTCAACCAGCCAACAACAACAAAGCACCGCCAACTATTTGGCTCATTAGTTTTATTGGCCCGCATATCAGTCAAAGCCGCAAAACTATTTATGCGGCCAACGCCCGCGTGCCCAGCTCCTGGTCCAGGTCCAGGTCCAGCTACAGACCCTTCTGATTCTATCATTTGTAGCTTGCTGCACTTGATGGGTGGCTTGGGTGTTTGCCAAGCACATTAATTGCCAAAAAGAACTTTGTCTTCGTTGCGCTGCGAAAGTCGCTCGAGATGTCCTCTTAATGAATTGGCAGCTATCCTTTTAACATTTGCTCAGTTGCACTTGCCGCAAAAGCCTCTAATAAATCACATAAAGACAGACACACAGAGCCCAGAGTCTTAAGTCCAATTAAGAGTTGATGCAACTACAAACTGATTCCGGTCATTAAGGCATATCGAAAGGTAGGTTAGCTCCAGTTGGTCTAGGTTAAGCAGACTCTCAGATTAGCCACAGACGTAATAATAATTATAAAGAAAGGTAAAAAAGGGGGCAGAGGCCTGTCGGGGATTTTATGTGTGGATGGCGATAGGAGGGTAAAACATATTGGAGAGTTTTCTTACTTTAAATGATTTAAGTTTTTAAATTAATAATTGCAGCAAAAAGCCTGGCCGAAGAACACGAAAGGTAATGAGGAATAAGAGGTAAGCGGAAGAAGCAGCTTATGTGGTTCAGCCCTGGAGCGATCCCTGAAGACAGGAAAGGCAAAAGGAAAGTCGAGAATCATTGCTAGGTCACAAGGTATTTGACTAAATATTTGTATTTTTGTTAGAATATAAGTAATTTTGTTGTTTAATTATTAATATTTTTAGCCATAAACTATTAACCAAACTTTCTTGCTTCGTACATATCTCAAAATCCTTTGGCTAAGCTAGAAGCTTCCATAAAATGGTCTGGAACTGAAGATCGCCTGGACAACTTATCTGGACCTTGGACTACATTCATCTTATTACAGTAATATATTTATAACTAGCTAACTAACTATATCTTGACAGTTTCTCAACCGGTAAGTTTTCATATAACATCTTTCAAAGCTGACTAATTTCCACTCTCAGTTTCACTTAATTACGTTTACATTAAACGAGATTTATTTGCCATTAAAAATTATTATGATATTTGAAGTATGGAAAAGTTTTGCGAAAAGCACGATTTATGCAACGTAAGTACCAGCAAATACCTGAGCAAAGAAATTATGAGATATTTTATATTTGTTTTCTTGCTTTTTTTTGTACATCTTATTTTTTTATTTTTGGCTGGCCGCAAAGACCGCAAGTGCGGCGCAGTTAGCTATGTAAATGTTTTCGCAGCTGTTTATGTATTTACTTTTAATGCCACTCGAAATGGCGGCTGCCAGTGGCTCCTCCAAGGCGCAGCCGAGCTGCAATTCCATAGAAGCATCAACAGGAGCAGCAGCAGCAGCCAACCGCACAACGCCAAGAAAATGCTAACAATTTTAATTAATGGATAAAGTTCTGTGGAATTCTGGTCGCCGCTCCACGCCCACATGGCAGCATATTTTGCCAGTGGTCGCGCAGCTGGTTTTGGGGTTGTTGCAGCGCCACCAAATTATGTGTACTTTGTTTGTCTAAATATTTATGCACTGCCAACCAGATTCGTTGCCCACTCAAAAGCATTTTTCTCCAGCTATGCTCAAAGGAAATCTGAGAATTCTAGTTGTTTTTTATTTGAATTTACTTGAATGTTAAATAAGAAAACGCCGTTTATTAATTTTCATAAATATATTTATTTATCTGAATATCTCTATAGCTATTGCATCAATTGTATATTATTATTCTTATGAACATAACAAATAAGATTACAAAAAACGAATAACATATTCAGATCTAAACATAATAAAATTATGCTAAACAACAGCAAAATGTTTTCCAAAATGCTTTTTCTTTTAGCCACCCGTCCTCCATTTATAGTGCTAAGTTGACATATACATATATTCTTGGGCTTATCATACCATTGAGTCCTGGTGAACCTAAATGTCTAAATTCTTGCAAAATTCGTGCAGAACTGTGTTAAAAACATGAATTTATCCCTTTTCTTGGTTTTCCCATACCATAGATATGGTCCTGGTAAGCCTATAGTTTCAAATGCGGATAGTCCCGGAGCCCATCAACGTTTTTCGATTTTAGAAAAAAGTCATTTTCGAAAAAAAAAAACCATTCAAAACGACATAATCTCGCCATGATCAACGGAGTCATATCTCCGCGGTGCTCCAATGTGATTATTGTAAATTGTTATTTGTATGTGCGGCCGCAAAGTATGCAGTAGAACAGCTCAAATAGGCTCAAGCGCACCATGTAGACAGCTCGAAAGTATGCAATGCTTTGCTTTACTTCTTTGTGCACAAACACACGATTTTTTTTGGAAAACTTTAAATGGCTATATCTCAGTCAAATAAAGCCCGATAGAATGCAGATTGAGAGGAGTTACTCACGGATGGCCATAGAAACCTCCAAGTTCAACGGCGAAGCTATGTCGCTTTGAAACGTCATATCTCCAAGATTTTTTTAGAGCGGCGGAGATATGACGTTTCAAAGCGACATAACTTCGCCGTTGATCATGGCGAGATTATGTCGTGAATATCGTGTCCACAACTACACGAACTTTTTTGGGAAACTTTAAATGGTCATATCTCGGCCAAATAAAGCCCTATTACGGTCAAAAAGGGAGGGGCTACTTGGGGAGAGGTCCGTAGAATCCGCCAAGATCGACGGCGAAGTTATGTCGCTTCAAAACGACATATCTCCAAGATATTTTTAGAGCGGCGGAGCTATGTCGCTTTAAAACGACATACTCTCGCCATGATCAACGGCGAAGTTATGTCGCTTTGAAACGTCATATCTCCAAGATTTTTTTAGAGCGGCGGAGCTATGTCGCTTTGAAACGTCATATCTCCAAGATTTTTTAGAGCGGGGGAGCTATGTCGCTTTAAAACGACATACTCTCGCCATGATTAACGGCGAAATTATGTCGCTTCAAAACGACATAATCTCGCCATGATCAACGGCGTCATATCTCCGCCGTGCTCCAATGTGATTATTGTGAATAGTTATTTTTATGGGAGGACCAAAAGTATGCAATATAACAGCTCCTCTAATAAGCTCAAGCGCATTCTGGGGACAGCTCGAAAGTATGCAATGCTTTCTTTCAAATATAGCCCGATTACGGTCAAAGAGGGACGGGCTACTTGGGGAGGTCCGTAGAAGCCACCAAGATCGACGGCGAAGTTATGTCGCTTCAAAACGACATATCTCCAAGATTTTTTTAGAGCGGCGGAGCTATGTCGCTTTAAAACGACATAATCTCGCCATGATCAACGGCGAAGTTATGTCGCTTTGAAACGTCATATCTCCAAGATTTTTTTAGAGCGGCGGAGCTATGTCGCTTTGAAACGTCATATCTCCAAGATTTTTTAGAGCGGGGGAGCTATGTCGCTTTAAAACGACATACTCTCGCCATGATTAACGGCGAAATTATGTCGCTTCAAAACGACATAATCTCGCCATGATCAACGGCGTCATATCTCCGCCGTGCTCCAATGTGATTATTGTGAATAGTTATTTTTATGGGAGGACCAAAAGTATGCAATATAACAGCTCCTCTAATAAGCTCAAGCGCATTCTGGGGACAGCTCGAAAGTATGCAATGCTTTCTTTCAAATATAGCCCGATTACGGTCAAAGAGGGACGGGCTACTTGGGGAGGTCTGTAGAAGCCGCCAAGATCGACGGCGAAGTTATGTCGCTTTGAAACGTCATATCTCCAAGATTTTTTAGAGCGGCGAAGTTATGTCGCTTTGAAACGTCATATCTCCAAGATTTTTTTAGAGCGGCGGAGCTATGTCGCTTTAAAACGACATAATCTCGCCATGATCAACGGCGTCATATCTCCGCGGTGTTCCCATGTGATTATTGTGAATAGTTATTTTTATGGGAGGACCAAAAGTATGCAATATAACAGCTCCTCTAATAAGCTCAAGCGCATTCTGGGGACAGCTCAAAAGTATGCAATACTTTCTTTCAAATAAAGCCCGATTATGGTCAAAGAGGGACGGGCTACTCGGGGAGGTCCGTAGAATCCGCCTAGATCGACGGCGAAGATATGTCGCTTTGAAACGTCATATCTCCAAGATTTTTTTAGAGCGGCGGAGCTATGTCGCTTCAAAACGACATAATCTCGCCATGATCAACGGCGAAGTTATGTCGCTTTGAAACGTCATATCTCCAAGATTTTTTTAGAGCGGCGGAGCTATGTCGCTTTAAAACGACATAATCTCGCCATGATCAACGGCGAAGTTATGTCGCTTTGAAACGTCATATCTCCAAGATTTTTTAGAGCGGCGAAGTTATGTCGCTTTGAAACGTCATATCTCCAAGATTTTTTTAGAGCGGCGGAGCTATGTCGCTTTAAAACGACATAATCTCGCCATGATCAACGGCGTCATATCTCCGCGGTGTTCCCATGTGATTATTGTGAATAGTTATTTTTATGGGAGGACCAAAAGTATGCAATATAACAGCTCCTCTAATAAGCTCAAGCGCATTCTGGGGACAGCTCAAAAGTATGCAATACTTTCTTTCAAATAAAGCCCGATTATGGTCAAAGAGGGACGGGCTACTCGGGGAGGTCCGTAGAATCCGCCTAGATCGACGGCGAAGATATGTCGCTTTGAAACGTCATATCTCCAAGATTTTTTTAGAGCGGCGGAGCTATGTCGCTTCAAAACGACATAATCTCGCCATGATCAACGGCGAAGTTATGTCGCTTTGAAACGTCATATCTCCAAGATTTTTTTAGAGCGGCGGAGCTATGTCGCTTTAAAACGACATAATCTCGCCATGATCAACGGCGAAGTTATGTCGCTTTGAAACGTCATATCTCCAAGATTTTTTTAGAGCGGCGGAGCTATGTCGCTTTGAAACGTCATATCTCCAAGTTTTTTTAGAGCGGGGGAGCTATGTCGCTTTAAAACGACATACTCTCGCCATGATTAACGGCGAAATTATGTCGCTTCAAAACGACATAATCTCGCCATGATCAACGGCGTCATATCTCCGCCGTGCTCCAATGTGATTATTGTGAATAGTTATTTTTATGGGCGGACCAAAAGTATGCAGTATAACAGCTCCTCTAATATGCTCAAGCGCATTCTGGGGACAGCTCGAAAGTATGCAATGCTTTCTTTCAAATAAAGCCCGATTATGGTCAAAGAGGGATGGGCTACTCGGGGAGGTCCGTAGAATCCGCCAAGATCGACGGCGAAGATATGTCGCTTTGAAACGTCATATCTCCAAGATTTTTTTAGAGCGGCGGAGATATGTCGCTTTAAAACGACATAATATCGCCATGATCAACGGCGAAGTTATGTCGCTTTCAAACGTCATATCTCCAAGATTTTTTAGAGCGGCGGAGCTATGTCGCTTTAAAACGACATAATCTCGCCATGATCAACGGCGAAGTTATGTCGCTTTCAAACGTCATATCTCCAAGATTTTTTTAGAGCGGCGGAGCTATGTCGCTTTAAAACGACATAATCTCGCCAAGATCAACGGCGAAGTTATGTCGCTTTGAAACGTCATATCTCCAAGATTTTTTAGAGCGGCGGAGCTATGTCGCTTTAAAACGACATAATCTCGCCATGATCAACGGCGAAGTTATGTCGCTTCAAAACGACATAATCTCGCCATGATCAACGGCGTCATATCTCCGCCGTGCTCCAATGTGATTATTGTGAATAGTTATTTTTATGGGCGGACCAAAAGTATGCAGTATAACAGCTCCTCTAATAAGCTCAAGCGCATTCTGGGGACAGCTCGAAAGTATGCAATGCTTTCTTTCAAATAAAGCCCGATTACGGTCAAAAAGGGATGGGCTACTTGGGGAGGTCCGTAGAAGCCACCAAGATCGACGGCGAAGTTATGTCGCTTCAAACCGACATATCTCCAAGATTTTTTTAGAGCGGCGGAGCTATGTCGCTTTAAAACGACATAATCTCGCCATGATCAACGGCGAAGTTATGTCGCTTTGAAACGTCATATCTCCAAGATATTTTAGAGCGGCGGAGCTATGTCGCTTTAAAACGACATAATCTCGCCATGATCAACGGCGAAGTTATGTCGCTTCAAAACGACATATCTCCAAGATTTTTTTAGAGCGGCGGAGCTATGTCGCTTTAAAACGACATACTCTCGCCATGATCAACGGCGAAGTTATGTCGCTTCAAAACGACATAATCTCGCCATGATCAACGGCGTCATATCTCCGCCGTGCTCCAATGTGATTATTGTGAATAGTTATTTTTATGGGCGGACCAAAAGTATGCAGTATAACAGCTCCTCTAATATGCTCAAGCGCATTCTGGGGACAGCTCGAAAGTATGCAATGCTTTCTTTCAAATAAAGCCCGATTATGGTCAAAGAGGGATGGGCTACTCGGGGAGGTCCGTAGAATCCGCCAAGATCGACGGCGAAGATATGTCGCTTTGAAACGTCATATCTCCAAGATTTTTTTAGAGCGGCGGAGATATGTCGCTTTAAAACGACATAATATCGCCATGATCAACGGCGAAGTTATGTCGCTTTCAAACGTCATATCTCCAAGATTTTTTTAGAGCGGCGGAGCTATGTCGCTTTGAAACGTCATATCTCCAAGTTTTTTTAGAGCGGGGGAGCTATGTCGCTTTAAAACGACATACTCTCGCCATGATTAACGGCGAAATTATGTCGCTTCAAAACGACATAATCTCGCCATGATCAACGGCGTCATATCTCCGCCGTGCTCCAATGTGATTATTGTGAATAGTTATTTTTATGGGCGGACCAAAAGTATGCAGTATAACAGCTCCTCTAATATGCTCAAGCGCATTCTGGGGACAGCTCGAAAGTATGCAATGCTTTCTTTCAAATAAAGCCCGATTATGGTCAAAGAGGGATGGGCTACTCGGGGAGGTCCGTAGAATCCGCCAAGATCGACGGCGAAGATATGTCGCTTTGAAACGTCATATCTCCAAGATTTTTTTAGAGCGGCGGAGATATGTCGCTTTAAAACGACATAATATCGCCATGATCAACGGCGAAGTTATGTCGCTTTCAAACGTCATATCTCCAAGATTTTTTAGAGCGGCGGAGCTATGTCGCTTTAAAACGACATAATCTCGCCATGATCAACGGCGAAGTTATGTCGCTTTCAAACGTCATATCTCCAAGATTTTTTTAGAGCGGCGGAGCTATGTCGCTTTAAAACGACATAATCTCGCCAAGATCAACGGCGAAGTTATGTCGCTTTGAAACGTCATATCTCCAAGATTTTTTAGAGCGGCGGAGCTATGTCGCTTTAAAACGACATAATCTCGCCATGATCAACGGCGAAGTTATGTCGCTTCAAAACGACATAATCTCGCCATGATCAACGGCGTCATATCTCCGCCGTGCTCCAATGTGATTATTGTGAATAGTTATTTTTATGGGCGGACCAAAAGTATGCAGTATAACAGCTCCTCTAATAAGCTCAAGCGCATTCTGGGGACAGCTCGAAAGTATGCAATGCTTTCTTTTACTAATATGTCCACAATCTCGCCAGTTTTTGGAAATCTTTAAATGTCAAGTAAAGCTGATAGCGGGCAGACTCGGATGGTTAAGTCGTGAAGGCCCATAGAATATAATTTTATATCTCGGTCATTTGAATGGGCAATCGATAGTCGGAATCCGTACGACTCTAATGAGCCATACCATGTCTTATGTGCTTCAGATCTACGATACACATAAATATACATTACCTGTGGTTTGTGCACGGACATCAGGATAGTCCTTAAAAATTCATAAATAAAAGCCTGTTAATATGCAAACCAAAAAATGTGCTCATAAATTGTGGGACGCCATTTCGTTTGCCACTGCGCTGCCTTCTTTACATTTTTAATTTAAAAGTTTGCGATAACAAATGATGCACATCCCTACACACACACACACACATGCGCCCATTCAGATACGTACTTTAAATAAGAAATAATGTTGACTGCTGATTTAGGAGCTGCCCCCCACAGGCCCAGCTCCTCCCTGACAGCCACACATATATGCTTGTACCTATACCCATCTAAAGGAGCATATGTGTGTGTGTGTTGTGTGTGTGAATGTCTTCACAAAGGCGGTCGAAATAATGTATAAAGAAATGAAGAAAGAAATGAAGCAAACTTTGGCGCTAATAAATTGTTTCATATCTCGCTGAAGGCAACGCTAATATACTCCGCCTGGCCAGATAACTCATACGCCGCGTGGCCAACAGCAGGAGCAGCAGCAGCAGCCGCAGGAGGCGGAGCAACAGCCCTCTACACCATTCTTTTTTCCTTCATATATGCATATTTATTTCCCCTTTGCTTATCAGCGACTAACAAAAATGAAAGAAATAAAGCAAAGCGGGTCCTGGCACATGAGAAATTGCCAAACACATTACCACACATTAGCCACGGACACAGACACATAGACAGGACATGGGACACACGAGTTGCCACTGCCACATCGCCAGGAGTCATAACTGCATATGACTTTAGTTTTTTCTTTACTTTTTTTTAACGTGTGCCACATACAGCTGAAATTGTAACAAATAATGATTTTCAAATATTATTTATTATTTTATCGCGATGTATTTATGTCATTTATTAAGAGAATCTCCGAGTGAGATGCGATATTAAATGATTTTATGCTTCTACTTTGTGGACTTTCAAATATGGACTTTAGATATCTGACTCCTTGACTTTTTTTTATTCTGCCCCAAAAGAGGAACACTTTGAGTTTAGCTCAAGTTTGACATTTAAAATTGTATTTATTTAATTATTTAATAATTGCTGGGAATACATATTGTAATATAATGTATGTGTGTACGTTTGTTTAATGTGTATGTGTCCGTGTGTTTGTGTTTATTTATGCTTTCAATAAATTACAATTAAATTTAGTTGGTTTTTGTTTACGATTTGTATGCTTATGGATCTAGTGGAACAATTATTCATTAAACACGTTTAAGTGTAGCTTTATAAATGTGAATACTACTCGTAATTGTTATCAAACGCTTGAAATTGAATAATTCAAATACACAACGGAATACCTAAGACAGCAGCTGAGTTTTCGGCTGAAAATGTAATGCCATTTAGCAGGTATTAAATACCAGGACATTTAACGTAACCCCCTTTTTTTGGGCTAGATTTATTTGATATTTTTAGTTTTTGCATTTCTTCTTTTTCTTTCAAACATATAAAATGCTCCATAGATATGTGCTAAGCTGGAAAACGAACTAAAATAAGGCAAAAACTTTAAAGTATTTGAAAAACAGGAAATTCCCAATGCTAGTATAACTATTCAAATATTTTATAGTAATAGAATAGTTTTGGTATAACATACATATTTACACATGAAATTGGCTCTCTTTGGTTACACACTCCTAACTTTGCGAACTGATGGATGTTTAAACTTATTTAGATATAGAGTTTTATTTGTTAAGGTCATGCTAGAAGCTGTGATAAATTAAAGTCCTATTAGTTCATCTAATTTTAATTTTTAACTAATTCTTCTTTTTTATTTAGTTTTTATTTTTCGCTAAATATTCTGCGGCGTTCGTTCGCCTAGCTAACTGGGACCGAAAGTGGGTCTGATACTGGGTTAGAAAACTGGTTCAACTCTTACTATAATACTTGGAGAGACGGCGCTTAACTAGGTGCATTAGGGGCTTATCTTCTCTCTCTTAATTATGTTGTCATAGCTGCATAGGGCTTAAGTCTTAAATAGTGTGTATTTACATATAGCTCGTGACACGCCTCCGATTTCCTCTCATTTCAATTCAAGAGAGGCCTCTAGTCGCGCTCCTCGTATTTGGGCACAAAGGAGCCGAGGCCGCCCAGCTGGCTGCACTGGCTGTTGTCATAGAGCGACATCTTGAGCCGTTTGCATTTGGCGCGTCGATTCTTGAACCAGAACTGCACGTTCTTGCTCTCCAGACGCGGAAACTTTTGGCTGCAAAAAGAAAGCAGAGGGAAACGAAAGGAGTTGAAAAAGATTTCTCAGAGTAATATAGATAGAGCTCTGCATCGAGTTACTCGAACAATTAATCGAAAAAGAATTCGAGTTAATCGAAACACAGCTCGAGCTAATCGTTTCATGCGTGTATTGTCTCAGCTTGGCGCAACACAAACATGTTGGCTCAAACATGTTGGCTGACTCGAGCAACTCGAACATTGTCTGTGTGCTCGATCGAGTATCCGAATCGTATCTTTTAAGCTGGGCTTAACTTACCGATAGGGCATGGTGTTCAGATCCTCGGTATATTTGAGTATCAGATTGTGCGAGGGATGCGTATTCATGGCGAACCACTGCTCCAGCTTGGGCACCTCTGTGACGGGATCGATAAAGGTGCGATTGCGCTTACGGCGCTCCTCGTTCGAGATGCTCGACAAGTTGAGACCGGCGCCGCCCATTAACGTATTCGGCTGGAGCCCAGCGGCGGCAGCAGCGGCAGCGGCATGATGGGCATGCGGATGGGCAGCGGCCGCCTGGCCAAAGGCCGGTATATAGTGGCTCATGTACATGAAGGACTGCGAGAACATCGAGTTGGGCACCATGGGAAACGGCAGCTGATCCTTGTGCGGCGTCACGCTGCCCGCCAGATCCGGCGAGGGCGAACGAAACTCATCCAGATGGCTGGTATCCTGCTCATTGTCCTCATCGTCCTCGTCCATGTCTAGGTCATCGTCCTCCTCTTTGGGCGTGCTGCGCTTCGGCGGGCTGCCGGACTCTTGCTCGTTATTGTTGTTATTATTGTTGTTGTTGTTATTGGCGCCGGCCTCGTCGCCGAGCGCATTGCCAGTCGCCTCGACATTGGCATTGTTGGAGTTGGAGTTGTCATTGTCATGTGTTGCGGCTTCATCGCCCATCTGCAGCACAGCGGGCTTCTCCTCGTGCTCATCGACGCCGTTGACCACATCGCTGCCGGCGCTCTTGGAGCGCTGCGGCTGTTGCTGCTGCTGCTGCTCGGACCGCAGCTGCTGCCTCTGTTGTTGCTCCTCCTCGTCGTCATCGTCGAGCATGGGCGAGCCGCGATGGCGTTCGTGTGTGGTCAGTGAGAGCGGCAGCTGCGGTGTGCTTGGCCTGCTGGGCTCCTCCTCCAGCTCGTCGGAATGCTGCGACATGGTGTCAATATCCTCGGACTTCAAGCTCATCGGACTTTTGAGATAGTCGTGCGACATAGAAAGATTGCCCATGCTCAGCGGCTGGCTGCCGGCGCTACTGCTCGAGTTCTGGCCCAGCGGTGCGTGGCCGCTCAGATAGCCATTCATGGCGGCATGTCCCAAGGCGCTCATCGCGTTCCCGAGGCTGCCGCCGCGCATCTCGGCGCGCTTCTGGGCGGCGCGCGCATTCTTGAACCAGTAGACCACGTTGTTGACGTCGAGCGGCTTGCGGCCGCGACGCGACTCCAGCGCATTCAGCTGCACCACATAGGTCTGGATTTGCTGGCGCGAGGGATGCGGATTCTCGGCGAACCACTTCTGCAGCTTGGGCAGCTCCATCTCCGGATCAAAGCTGGTGCGCATGCGCGTCTTCTGGCTAGGATACTGGCCGCCATGCGCCTGCGCATGATGATGATGATGCATGCTGGCCGCGTGCATCGGATGCACCAGCATATTGCCATGATGCCCGCCCGCCTGGGCCTGGCCCACAGCCGCATTGGGATGATGTCCAGCTGCTGCTGCCGCCGCCGCAGCGGCCGCGGCTGCCTCGTTGGCCAGCAGCAGGGATTCGCGACTGCTCATCGCGCCCAGCGGATTGGCAGCGCCGCCAGCACCAGCTGCAGCGGCATGGGCCGCGGCCGCAGCAGCTGCGGCCATTGCCGTGCCCACCGGAAAGTCCATGTCGCCGGGCACCACCGGCACCGTCGACGGCGCCGACATGAACGGCAGCATCTTTGGCGTCATCGCCGACTGCGGCGAGAGCTGATTGGACCACCACTGATCGAATTTACGGCGCAGCTCATCGGGTATCTCGCCGCCGGGCAGAGCGTACGTATTCTGATGTGAGCTACGACAAATCTGCGAGAGCGTCACCTGCAAGCGAGGAGGGGAAACAATTAAGCTTTGATAAAAATCTAAGTAGTCTCTACATAAAAAAACTGTTATCCAAAATATCTCACTTTAAGGATTACTCCCCTCGTTCCCTAAATTGGTAAATTGAATTATAGCTATGCTTTGATATAGCTATAAAGTAAAAGATACTTTTTATATATGTATATACTATTCATGAAATTACATGTCAAATTTGGTGACTCTAGCTCTTATAATTTACGAGATTTGCTCAAAAAACAGGATTTCGATAGCGATTCTTATCAATTACGTGCAAACGTGGCAAGTTATCAAGTATCGATTATTTAAAGTCTTTTGCTCTTATAGGCTCTGAGATCCAGACGGACAAACAGACGGACTTGGCTAGATCGACTCGACTCTTGCTGCTGAGGAAGAATATATATATATACCTTATGGGGTCGGAGATGCTTCCTTCTGCCTGATAAATACATCATACCCTTTTACCCATTGTTAATGTGTTCAGGGTATTAAAACTGGGTGCAATGAGTAGGAGGCATTACTGTACTGCTAACTGATTGGCTGTCGCCAGTGCACTTAGCCGGTTTGAGCCCACGTCTGGCCCACTAAGCGGGTGTCATAAAAATCAAAGTTGAGTCGCATTGGGTTGGTTTGGGTTTTGGTTCGGTTTTGGTTTGGTTTGTTAAGGCCCTCAAGTGGCCGGGATTTACTTAGCCATAAATGTGCGCGGTGTTGGCTCTGATTGCGGCAGACTCAAAATTGCCTATAACGATATAGAACTGATACCCCACGAAAAAAAAAAAAAAAAAAAAAAAACTGATATTAACTGACTGACGGACGGCAACGTCAGGCGCGATAAATAGATAGTCCCTATGGCCCGATAGGGGACGACGACACAACAGCTTATGCGATTAAAATTGAATTTAATGTTCAGAAATAGAAACGAAACAGAAAATTCACCCGTTTCAGAGGGAAGCGGTAGCAATGCCCAATCACACACATATATATATATATATTTATTTGTGGGTATATGGTCGAGAGGTGGTGAGGGTATGGGTGGGTCGTATTAAATGCTCATTGATACTCGCCTCAAATACGTGCGCTTCTGCCAGCTCCACATAATAGATAATGTCTGTCGCTATCAGCTAAGGAGGCGCCCCAAATCACTTAAGCTGCTCGAAACATAGCACGGTGAAGGGGGAGGGGGAGCAGTACGGTAAGGAAGGTGTTATAGACAACTAATTGTAAATAAAATGTGTGTTGAGCGGGCGAGAGGGTAGAGGGGAGGCGGAGGGAGAAGACGGCGAGCAATTATTAAATTGATTTTCATATCGTTGGTGACTTTCGCAATTCTCGGAACACAGACGAACATTAGCCACGGGACCACAATCAAAGGGTATCTGTGTTAGTGTGTGTGTGCGTGTGTGTGTGGAGGGAATTATAGGAATATATATGCTTATCATGTGATTAGAGGGGCAAACGCTTTGCTAATATTAATCAGGGCCAATAAAATCAGTCGCAATATCAATTGAAGGGTATTTCGGTCGTGATTTCCGATAGCGACAACAACAACAACAACAAATATATAGACATGAAAATACTCTGATTTATGACTGACTGCAGTCGAGGGGCGGACGAGCAGGCGAGCGAGCGGGCGGGCGGTCGGTCGGCTGGTTGTGATGGAGGATTTAGATGTGGGTCATGCGCTGCCCGCACAACTCTTTAAGACTATGATCTGCCCGGCTGTGTTGGCCACAAATAAGCCCAGTGTTAGCAATTGAGCTCTACACAATCGGAAAGTGTACCCATATATACTTATATATAGAAGGGTTTTTTCTGACTGACTGACTGGGGATCACACGTAGAAACGTAGAAGATTGACAGAGAGCCGGACAGACAGCCAAGGATAGATAGGTGGAAAGACAGGAAAACGTCGGACCATCAAGCGAAAGAACGCCGGTTCAAATTCAGCAAAAATCCTCGGAGAGAAGGCAAGATGTCGGACCATCAAGCGGAAGATCGCCGGTTCAAATCCATCTGAAATTCTTAGAAGCCAAGTGCTTCTGGCTTTATTATTAATTTGAGCCGTGCGACGCCGCTTAATTTCTTTAAATTTTGTACATATGTGTGCGTAACAAATCGTTAGAAATTGTTTTCAGTGTGTTCGGCGATAAGCGCAAAGCTGATTACAAATGAAAACTATTGCAGAAAAAGGATTAGTTAGGTGAACCAAAATAAATGAAGTCGGCTTAACAAACATTTCTTTGTAGTCAGAATTATTATCAAAAGCATTTTCTATGAATTTCATATGCATGTAATATAAAGACACACACGCACACGCACACGCACACACACACACAGCCAGGCAGGCACACAGACGGCATTGGCTGCTTTGAAAACTCGAGCATTTTCCAGGGGCAGGATACGCAAAAAACTTTTGTTGCCAACAGTTGGCTCTTTATACGTGTGTGTACGTGCGAGTGAGTGTGTGTGTGTGTGTGTGTGTGTGTGTGTGTATGTGTGTTTATGCCTCAATTCACGCAAATTAGCGGTTTGAGTTTTCATGGGTTCTACGCAACGCGCCGCTTAGCTGCGGCTTAGTCTAGAAAATGTTAAAATGTTGCCGGGTTCGAAGTTTTTGGAAAGATTTTAGGGCAACTCTCACAAGACGCCAGCTAATAGGTCAGGCTAGGTTGTTGTTGTTGTTGTTGTTGTCGTTGCCGTAAACCGCTTATGAATCATTATAGAATTTTGTCAACTTAACGCACAAGTTTTGTAGTGAGAGTTCAAAGTGAATGTCTAATTAGCTAACAGTTGTGTGTTTGTGTGTGTGTGTGTGTGTGTGTGTTTGTGTGTGAACTCACCTCATCCAAGGGGCAGCCGGTGGAGCGGAGCAGCGCGTGCGATTGCAGCACAAGCAGCTTGAGCAGCTTGTCCTTGATCTCGCCAAAGGGTGAGGTCTTCGGGCGCAATATGACAATACGCAGCGTTATGACCGAGGTCAGTTCACCCACAATATCGCTAACCGGCACAGCCGGATTATCAGAGATCTGTTCCAATGGTATGGGCTTCCAGTGCTTGATGATGAGCGAGCCTAGCAGATGGAGAGGGAGAGCAAGAGAATGCGTAAATATGCAAGTCAATAAAGCCTAGGACAAATTCACTTCTAGCCTAATTCCACTGTGAACATTTCTTGTATTTTTTTTGTGAATGCCACATTTTGTAGTGGAATCACAGAATGTGAGGTTTGTTAATTTAATTTTTATTGAGCATAGTGGAATCAGGCCTTCCTTTAAAAGGGTATTCAAGACGTCTTAACCAAATTCTAGCACTCACCTCTTGCCGTGTTGGCCACCTCCTGCGAGTACCCGAGACGCTGCAGCGCCGTCTGGACTATTTCGCTCCAGGGCGTGGCAGCTGCAATGATCACATAGCTGTCCGTCTCGATGTTGGGCCGCCGTTTCCACGGCTGGCGTGTGTCTATGGTGAGCGAGGCGTGCAGCGAGTGCACGGACTCCACTACGCAGTGCAGCGGAAGCGATTTCGCTGCAATAGAGAGAGAGCGAGAGAGAGAGAGATGGAAAAAGTGAGAGAGGTAGACGGAGAAATTAGAGGGCTGTTTGGAAATTCATTTTAATATTCATAAATTTGGTGAAGATTTTAAAGCACTCGAAAAACAACAAATTAGTTGCAAATACCCTGCAGCAAATACATATATACCTAAAGGGCATGCTGTTTATACAAATGCACAGTAAATATATAAATAAGGCACTCAAGTTTGATATTTGTGCAAATCAAGTACTTTGCACTCCACTTCAAGTACAAAAAATGTTGAAATTTTTTTTATAGCAGTTCGTATACTCAAAATACATATATATCATGAATTTCAGAAAACGCTATTATTTAGGCAGGTCTTTTATCGAATTTTTCTTGACTTAGGAACTTAAATATTTAATTTACTTTCATCTAGGGTATTAAATTTCCTTTTTAGCAGTTTGTATACTCTTTCAAAAGCCAAATATATATATAAATTAAAAATAAAATGCATTTAATGAATAGAAATGATATGAAATGTTTGGCATAAATCAAGTGTATTTCAAAAATAGCTGACAAAAGAAGCTGTGTGCTCTTTCGACAGTTCTTTGTACAGTTTTTTGACTAAGGAACTTAATTACTTGATTCTTTAAACAAGAGAACTAAACTTTTATTTAATTTACTTTTATCTAGGGTATTTGCAAAGTCGTGCTTCTGTGTCAGCATCTAATTACTGCCTAACTCTAGGGCCTGCTGCAACTGCTGCTAATCGGTTTAGTGTTCAGTTCGGAACGCTTCAAATGGCGCCAAGTGCAAATCGGCCAAATTAAAAAAATCAATTAAAACATATTTTATATGTTGCCAGACCTTGCCAACAGAGAGGTATTTCAATAAATTATTGCATGCTGCGGTTAGCCGCAAAATGGTTTTAGCCGCTTACCCCTTATATTGGCAGGATTATGAATACATTATGCATAATAGGCTAAATAATTATAAATTAATAATGCGAATTTTGCCACCGACTAGTTGGCCAATTGATTGGCAAAGCTACTAGCTAGAGTACAGCACTTGTCCTAGAGTGTTCATCTGCATAAATATAAAAGAGTTTCTCTGTCAAAAAACATGCGCCTGTGCCTGAGCATCGAACCAACGAGAAGGAGACACGCCAGTTCAAATCAGTGAATTAGTGAAGAGAATATAAATATAAATATAAAATAAAAATATATATATATATACTGACTTTTTTTTTGCCGTGCAACGCCGGTCAATTTCTTCTAGTCAGCCCAAATATGAGCATAAGTATAATCATAGCACTCCCATATTAAGAACTTAAGTGAAACAACCTCCATTAATAATTAAGTAAATGACTTAAATGGCGCATTTTCTAGCCGTGCAACGCCGGTCATTTTCTTCTAGTCAGCCCAATTATGATAGTTGCTAGCATAACTATAGCCATAACACGCCCATATAAATCGCATTTTGGCCTAAAACACAACACTTTTTCGCGACCAATTATGTGGAGCTTAAAAATGATTTACCAAAATGTTTGCCAATAGCGAAAAACGCAAATGCAATGCACGCCCGATGCCCAATCCAAAGCTGTAAATGCATTCGGCAAGAGGGGGGAAGGGGGGGAGCAGAGCATAGCTGCCCTGGACACCAGTAGCAAATAGGCTTAACGCCCGCGCTGCTGGCGGCCATAAGGGTATTATTAATTATTCCAATTATAAAAATTGTAAGCAGCGCGCAGATTGCTGGCGATTGGCATTTGGGCGCGTTTAAAACAGCCAGAAGAACGCGGCCAAAAGTTGCTGCCACAATTATGAGCGATTTCAACTATACATAAATATATACATATATATATATATATATATATACACATATGTTGTTGTTGTGTGCGCCTGCAAATCTTTTAATTGCCATAAAATCCTTATTGGGCATTAAAAATAAATATATCAATTGTATTGAACACATATATGTATATATATATATATATATATATACATACATATTCGTGGAAAGCACATGCATCACATACATGTACGTACGTATGTATGTATGAAATAATTTAAAAAGGAATAAACAATTATGTGGGATAAAGCGGCGGAGGCCTAAAGGTATTTACAATACGCTCCGGAGCTACAATAAAAATAATGCTGAAGATGTGCTTAAAAAAAGTCAACTTTTGAAGAGAGTAGTTGGAAAAATTCTAAAGAATTCTTCAGACATAATATAATTGAAAAAAATACTTCTTTTCGTAAGCCTTTAATGGATATCTGTTTATTGAATCTTAAATTATTTTTGCGTATTTCAAAAGTTGATTATCAAAATGTGTCTAACAAATTTGAAGTTTCGCCTTTGAGAGGAGAACATTTCTTTTAGAATTCTTCAGAAGTTTATTAATTTAATTTAATTTCCTTTCTGTTTAATTGATGACAATTTTATATTTTAAAAGTTACATAAATGATTAAAAATTTAATATATATATTCTAATAAATTATATTCGTTTATGTTTTAATTGAATTTCATATATTTTAGTTAATTTATAATCTTTGATCTGCTGCAGAGTCTATAAAATTTAAAACAATAAGGGCACACGGCACATTTTCGGGGGCACGTAATCCCGTGTGCCACATGCCACATACATATGCTCACACACAAACATATATGTATATACATATATAAATATATAATAAAGCCATGTTTGGCGTGCTTTTTGTTGTATTTTAGCGTAATATACGCAATAACGATTTTTACAGGGACATAAACCTGAGGGCTGTTGGCTCTGGGTTTTCGGGGCAGACCGTTTTTGGCTTTGGCATTATGCATTACGTTGGGTATTGGGCGTTGGGGCCTAGGGGCCGCCTTTATAGGTGGCATAGGTGCGCTGACTGAGGCTTTGGCTGAAATGGCGGCGGCCAAAGAACAATAGAGCGAAAATGCGTAGCGCAACCGAATAATAAACTCATTAAATCCATTATCCTGCCCCATGATTTGGGGGCTAACACAAAAGCCGATTTCATGTGCATGCATATGTGCATGTGCGCCTGGCTCTGGCTCTGCGCGTAGATTTGTGTGTGTGTGTGTGTGTGTGTGTGTGTGTGGGTGTGTGTGGAGCCACAGCCAGCACGCTAATTGTTGCGTTGCCCAGTCTCAAAATAGCCGCCAGCTCTGACAGCACTCAAAAATGGTGCTGATTTTGAATGAGAATCGAGAGGGGGGGCATTGAGAGGAGAGTGCAGCTCGTAAGTAGCCCCCACCGGGCCCACCCACGAGCGGGCAACCGGGCGACTGGCGCATCACTGGGCGGCGCTTATCCTTATTAGCATTATCAGTGGCAAAAATAATCGAGACAGCAGCCGGCGCACGGGCCAAACAAATTGAATTAAAAACGTTTGAGGCATTAAATCTCAGCCAGGCAGGCAGACGAGTAGACAGCCCCACCCACACAAAAACCACCGCTCCCCGGCTCCCGCCCACCGACCGTTGGCCTAAGCTGACAAACGATTTGTAATGAACTCCACTTGCATAGGCTTAGACGCTGTCGTCGCGCTGACTCCACCCCCTGCACCGCGCATCACCGCCCGCCCCGCATGACGACTTTTCCATTTTCTCTTATATTTTTTGCCCTGTGTCGCAGCTTTAGATTTATTAACCTGCGTCGAAGTCGCAGTCGCCGTCGCAGTCGCAGTCGCGTTACCAACTCGGCGAGCGCAAAAATAATAAAGTTGCCAATTGCGTTGATACCATTTGAATGTGATATGTTCTTATAATACCCTGCACTGGCAGATTAAATAACATTTGTGCATATAAAGCCTAGTTACGCAAGAGATCAAAGCGGAAAGCTGTGCAATTGATAAGCTCTTCTTGTACTGTACAAAATACAGGGTATTCAGGTAGACGTTATATTGTCTATCTTATTGGTCTGATAAGCTTGTCTTATATGAGGAATACAGGGTATTCAAGCATCGAGTCACGGCATTTGCAAAACTATCTGCGAAGTAAATGTATTTCCTAAAAGAAATTATCCTAAAAGACTTACATTCATATTAAATTTTAAGAATATAATAAATTCAATTACTTTCTATATTTACAGGGTATTCAATAGAGGAATTCTGGACATCCTACTTAGGAATATAAAATAATATACTAAAATATGTATAAAATCTTTTTGTCCTTGTGAAACGCAACATACTCTTCGAGCAGCCAGACAACCTGAGACTGAACAAATTCCCAATTATAACTACAGGGTATCGGACTAGTCGCGCAACTGTTGCACACTGATGGCTGGCTCTTGATTACCCTGCAAAGAGAGTTCTGTCTTTGGCTTATCGCAATCTGAATTGAAAGTTCGAAATAAATGGGATATTTGTGATTCGGTTTGCTTGTTAGAGACGTCAGCTAAGCCCCTTTCGTAGTATGCCCAGGACTATTTTGAGGCTGATTGCGCAACAGCCAGAGGCGGCCAATTAGCAGGGGTGAGAGCAAGCCAGCACCCTCCCCTCTCCCAGGTCATCCTACACAAGATTTTAATCTTTGAAAGTTTTTGTAGCATTCACGTGTGCAGCTTGGCATGAAATTTTATTGTGGAAATGGCAATGAGACGGTGAGTGTGAGTGTGTGTGTGTGTGTGTGTGTGTGTGCCTGGTTGTGCGCGCTTTTGGCTTTCTTCTAAGAAATTGACCAATTGACTGACCACAAGCAGCGGCAAGGACAGCAGCCGAGACCAACAATAATTATGAATCGCCTACGCACAACATCAAAACGACATAATCCCCAACTAAGAAACACACACACACGCGTAAGAGTGAGTGTGTGTGTGTGTGTGTGCGGGGGGAGGGGAACAATTTAAGTGACTGCTGGCAAGGATTATGTAAGTTTTGCAGCTGAAAATATCCTTTGACCAACAAATATTTGTAGTTCTGCTTTTTCGGACAAACTTGACCTGAGACCTGCGGCAGCAGTAGGGTGGAAGGAGGGGGAGGGAGGGATTTGCAGTTCTTTCGGCTGGC